CCCCCCCTATTTCCCATAATCTGAATATTGTTTGCAACTGGTACAAGCCTTCTAGACTGGTTCCCTGACTTTACAACTCCCTGACGTCTATTAATTGTTCCATTTCAATTTAAGTGGCATCAGGGAACCAGACTACAGGAACATGATTGTTTTTCTTGGTTTTTCTAGAATCTACAAACCCAAAATGTCAAACAAGTCAGTGTAACAATAATTTGCTGTAAAAAACTAACCCGCAAAATCCATCTATTTCTGAAAATTACAGCAAAGGCAAATGTTGTATATTCCCATAACATTGTCCACCTACCTACAAGTTCAACAGACCTGTTTATGGGCACTTTGAAGTTGTTTGTTGCATGCAATCTGTCAGCAAAATCAGCCACACCCTACTATTACTACAACAGCACGACTGTATGTTGTGTACACGGATTGTCCAATACTGAATAGTGCCTCGCTACCACACCTGTCAAGTGCACAGCAACGGCTGTTGTGATGTAAACTTTGAACTGTTTCCTCATGAACACAATGTCTCATGTGCAAAATTCCCGGGTTTTTATGAAGAGCTTTAATTATGAGACACCTCTGACCTCAAGCCTATTGTTGTTGGTTGTGGCTAGGTGTTCAGAAATTGTACATTGTACCCAGCTGCTCTTGTGCATGTAGGCAGATGGATCGATGTGTAGAAAAAGTTTACGATAACCTTTACGGATTATTCCACCGGGTTGGGAAACAATGTGTGACATATATGACCATATTATGAAAAGTATGAATGCCTTGCTTGCAGAGGCTAAAATCTCCATTCACTTCCGAAAATCGGTCATTCAGTTTCCTCTGAATTTGAATGCATGATCTTTAATCCCATTTGAACTCAACAAAAGTTCAGTCGTTTTCATTGTCCGTGCATTCCGTTTTGAGAAACAGACGACCAATTACGTTACCTATGCATTCATTTACGCAAGCATACCTTTTCTGAATTGATTTCTGGTACAGCTAATTTGATTGACGGTAAATGAAAATAAAACCCCTAATTTTATCTCAGTGGTGCCGAATGCATTAAACTAAAAGTGAAATAGAATGGTAAATGTTTGAAATGGTCCTCTAAAAGTGAAAAAGAAGTCTTGTAAACGAATCTGAATAGACATAAACGAAAGGTGCTGCTCAATCACTTAATTGATTGAACTGAAATGGATTTGAATGCTCTGGTAGCGAAAATGAAATGCGTGTTCAGAGCGATTCTCAAATTCAGACGAAAATAAATGACCGATTTTCAGAAGTGAATGAACGCTTTAGGAAATTGGCCGGGAAAACCTATATTTGTTGTTGGGTGTTTCACTACTGCAGAAAGTTTTAAATCATTCGAATGTGTTTTGCCAAAAATATGAGCAAAAATGTCATTTCGATGTAACATTGACACCGTGTCAATGTAAATTTCTGTAAAACATTACCCAAATTCCCTTTAAGACCACAATAACAACATACATGTATGCATAGACATCTTGACAAATGTTGTCAAGATGACTTTATCGCAGGGCATGTGACGTCATGTGATGTAGCTTTATTTTTGGAATTATTATAAGCATTTTGAACAACCTTAGAACTGTATCAAGCACTCCAAACAGTGACTGTAAAAGAACCCAAAAAATGCAAAGAAAAACCCTATGTTCTGTTTGAACAGACATAGTCGTTCTAGTTGGTTTTTTTTTCTTGTTTTCAGCCATTGCCCATAACATTTGTACACCCTATCATCGTGCATGGAACTAAAATCAATCCAATTGACTTTATACTCAGGACACACTTAGACCAGCATCTGAAGATGTGTACCGAACATTGATGTCATCATGACATCATCAGGTGTCACGGGACGTCACAATTAATGTGTACATTTCGAAGGTCTATATCTCCAGAACTACAGCTCCGATATGCAGTGGCGTAGCCAGGAATTTTTCAGTGGGGGGGGGGGGGGGCGCTGGGGGGGGGGGCTGGAACATTTCATGGGGGGCGTCATGTAGGGGCGTCAATCGCTTCTCAAAAGTGGAACGGGGGACATACCTTGATCAGAACTGATGCAAGCCCGAAGCGCAAAGCGCGAAGCCCTTACGGCGTGGGGTTTGGGGCCCGCTTAAGGGCCTCGAAAAAAATGGATTCTAGATGTTCTGCGGTGTGATCTGAAGCAATTTCTTACCACTTTCCTCCATGCTTTAAAGAGGTTGTGGAATGCTAGAAGACATTTCCGTCATTTTTTGGGTATATGTAGCCCAAGGTGTGATGAAATAAAAGCGACTATTGTTTCTGTCATGAAATGAGTACAAAGGGTACTTTTGAGAGCTATTTTTCAGGTCCTGTTTCGACCCGAACGTGCAATTTGTGTAAAAGTCGTCGTTGCGGGCAGCAAACAAAACACAGTTCGTGACGTAATAAACAGGACTCGTTTATGCTATTCTGCATCGGGAGTCCTGTTTATTACGTCACGATTTACTGGTTTTTGTTTGCTGCCCGCAACGACGACTTTTACACAAATTGCACTTTCGGGTCGAAACAGGCATGACAGGACTTGAAAAACAGCTCTCAAAAGTACCTTTTGTACTCATTTTATGACAGAAACAATAGTCGTTTTTATTTTATCACACCTTAGGCTACATATACCCGAAAAGTGACGGAAATGTCTTCGAGCATTCCACAACCTCTTTAACTTATATTTTCTTAGCAAAAGATAATTATTTGAACATCGTTTTCGAGGTTGGAGTCATTGAATCAGCTATCGGTATTCTGATGGCTATAAGGGCCCGCTTAGGGCCCCCGAAAAAATTGGATTCTCGATGCTCTGTGGTGTGATCTGAGGCAATTTTTTACCACTTTAACCAATAATTATCTTAGCACAAAAGATAATAATTTAAACATAATTTCCGAGGTTTTCTCAGCTAAAGGTCATTGAACCAGCTACCAGAATTCTGAGCTATAGGCGTGGGGTTCGGGGCCCGCTTAAGGGCCCCGAAAAATTTTGGATTCTAAATGCTCTGTGGTGCTATCTGAGGCAATTTCTGACCACTTTAACCAATATTTTCTAAACAAAAGATACATTGTAGTACATAATAGGGCCCTGTAAATGAAACACAAGTTCAAAAATCTGGGGAAGGATATTGTGTCCCCACCCTTCAAAAAGTAGGGGGGGGACCAGTCCCCCTGTAGCCCCTGTGCATTTTTCTTTGGCCTTTATCGATAAAAAGATAGGTCTGATTTTGTTGTAACTTGGTATGTACCTTTGGCGGGATGTGTTATAGATGAAAATTGAAGTGATGTCATGAAGACGTTATCATGACATGTAACGTTACATCACATTAAAGGTGGGTGCGTCTTGTCCCTATCATACACATGAGGAAGTGTGTATATAACCACATGTCAGTGCTGATTGGCCAGTGTCTGATTGGCTTGTCTCTGATTGGCTCCTTGATATTCTTTATATCTTGATAGTCATCGTGAGTGGCACATTCATATTGCATTTAATGCAACCACGGGATGCATTTTGCGCTGACGGTAATTTCCTGCAAAATGCCGTGACCTGTCAATTTCCATCTATACAATGCATTCATCAGTTGCCTGTCTCATCTGTTTTCTAATAACTTTTGTGAAAACAAAATGCCAACTGGTACTCAACTGTTGCTAATTCCTACCTTTGATAACTTGCCTCATGTCAAGAAGTTGATGACGTCATCGTTCGATTAGCAGCGCCATTATTAAAACCCTCCTATACTTGTAACTATCACAAACTGCCAAAAAGCCTAAGCCTACCTCTCTCAATAGCTTCTGTACAGGCCGGTCACCAACTACCAGAAACCCCTATGGATTACACAATATAAATGCCAAAGCCTGTTGAAGATACAGGTAGCTTGACCATTAATGGGCAAGCTAGTTCGCCTAGGAATTATTGTGGACCATTGGTTTACCATAGTTACACTAAAGTTGCCCGAACTCTGTTTAGTTGACGATAGTTGACTACGCTAGTCGACTATTAGTATTAGGAACCAGCCTCCTGGGCCTGGTTGCATCGCTGGTAACCAATACCCGCGCGCATTCATAACGTACAGCAGGGAGCCAGACCCTGGAAGTTTTGCAATGACATTTTGACCAGCGTTTGAAACGTTGCCTTGTCCTTCCTTGAGTGTGTGTGAGATTGTTTCTGCATTCAATAGGGGACGTTGAACAATCGAGAACAATAGGGTCCCCAAATCCCAAAGGTCCCCAATTTAGCGATGTGTACAAAACATATGGGAGGTCTTCCTAAAAAGTTAGAGTACAAACAAAAGAGGGACAAAAGAGGCAAATACACACTTGGTGTGGGTGTACATGTGTGGCTTTACGATAGAGGACAGACACATAAAGGGAGAACAAAAGATCCTTTCAGTCCTCGAGCGTTGGGTCTTTTGTTGAAAACAGTCCTCAATCGTACGGTTATGTGCTTAGTCTGTTGGAGAGTGTAATATGACAGGGATAAGGGGAAACACAAAGCATTGTCCTCTGGCGTATAGAAATTTGCACAACTGCATGTTCTTGTACGGCTTAATGATAGACGACAGACACACAAAGGGGACAAAGGATTTTGTACATCCTTGATTGTCAATTTCTACAAGTCTTACTCTTCAATCTTTTGTTAAAAAACGATCTTTGAATGTAAGTTTGTGATGTGTTCAGTCAATAGGAACAAAGAGAAACACAATGAAATACATGTATGTTTCCTAAAAAAAAAACCTGCGTAGCACCAAAATTAATTGTGTCTTGGAAGCCCATTTATTAAACTACTTTTAAGTGAGATAATTATTTCCATTGCCCTACACGTTAAAATGTTATCACTATTTAGACAAAGTAACCCTAAATCAGGTTCGTCCAAAGTTACATGTGTTGCGCCTGAATGTTTGTTTCAACAACTGTAGAACACAATATCTTTATTAATAACACTGCTTTTGGCTAACAATTCCAATGTGGTCCCCCCCCCCCCCCCCCCCCCGCAGGTCATACTGATGTTCCGTGAAGTACCCAATGCAACCACTGCACTGCTCGACATGCTGCTGCATTGCTGCTACTGCAACGACACGTTCACCTTGTCCGTCATGATGATGATCCACGTAAGTACAATTCCTTACAATTCAAGTTGATCCAACAAATGTTTGTACTGTATGTTTTTATTTAAATCCCCCAAAAGACCCAAAAAAAATTCGGGGGGGGGGGAAGGATTGAGGACATCTGCAACCTTCAGGATTGTATTTCAGCAAGTAATTCAAAATTTGTTAAGACGGGCAGATTTGTCATTTTTTGTCTCATTCATATTGATGAACATTGTTTTAAAGGTAGAGTAGATCATTTGCAGCTTTACAAAAAGTAACTGACAAAGTTATTGTTGAAAAGCTTACTTGGTTTAAAGTTAGTAAGCGCACTAATCTCCCTGTGAAATTATTCCTGCTGGCATGCTGTCATTTTGAAGAAAACAATAGAAGAAGGCCATTTCCAAAGATGCGTCAAGTGAGACATTTTTGGAAATGTCCGTTAGTTGTTGGTTTGTAATTCGGTGAATCTGTGAATGGGTGTGCACAAGTGTTGACTCGATGCAAATTTCAAAAGATGCGTTAAGTGATGCATTTTGGGACATTTATAGTTGTTGGTTTGTAATTTGTTAAATCTGTGAATGGGTTGAAACAACGCACATACGTGCGCGGATGCTATTATTCGTCGGTTGAATGCATGACATCGTATAGCTGCAATCAGCTGAATGAGAACGGGTCCCGGATGCTGATTTCTGGCGAAATTCAAAGCATGACTCGGCAACTCTTGAATTGAAATCAAGTTCCTAGAATATTGTTTTCTCGGAACATACAGCATTTACTGAGCTAAAACTTCATCAGGTTAGTTGCTAAGCACCCATCCTTAGATTTTGAGCACTTTTGTCGCTTCAAAAAAAAAAACACAAATGACAAATGATCTACCCTACCTTTAACAAGTGTTTAATTTGTGTCAAGGAAATGCTTTGTACAGACAGTTTGTACATAAAAATTTCTCATTTGATTTTACTATGCCAAGCAATGATTTCTTACAGTCTGCAGACTTGAATGTTATTAAAGGCACGTATATGTACCGGTAGGAACATGGGCAATGATCCAGAAACGTACTTAACAATTTATCGAGAAAACCCTTGCTCAAAGTGAAGATAAAAAACGCACAATAGCAACTGATCCTGTTTACCTTTTAAATATAACAAGGGAGATTGAAATTGGAAACGCTACAATATTTGCCAGAATTTTTTTCTCTTTGTTGTATTGATTTTCTTTCATTTATTGTCTCTCCGCCCTGATTGGCCGATACAGGGTCAGGTGTCCTCGGCACCCACCAATGAGCTAAAGCACATCTTGATTCTCCTCCTGGAGCTGTTGATGATGGAGGACCCCCTGCAGGGCAAGCGCCTCAAGCTAGCCGTGGAAGGGAACAACAGCAATGGCCTTTTGGGTAAGGAGCACTCATCTCTGTATATACTGACTGGGTAGGGTGAAGCCACTCGGATGCCATCTTGGGAGGCCAAGACATATGGGTTATTGCATCAATGTGGGGTCCACTTTTTTCATGTGCCTGTTACATCTGATATCTGCGATTATATAATTCTGATGCATTCCTTAATGCAGTCATCCTCCAAGAGTGAATGTGAATCAGTTGCAAACTACCTACCCAACAAATAAAACGTGTATTTCTTAATGATACTTGAATAAGGGAATGAATGTGTGCTTGGCTGGTTTTAAACAAGTCCGTTTAAGACTGGCTGGGGGAATGGATGCTGATAATAGCCCGAGCCAAAGGGAGGGATGTTATTAGCGACCAGGCCCCTAGCCAGTCTTAAACAGGCTTGTTTAATATCTGTCAAGCACATGCATATTTATTCCCGTTCATGAATACCTTTCAGTCAAAGAGTCAAAACAAGTCAAACATTTCCAAGGTGCTGAACTACTAACCTCATGAAGTTTCAGCTCAGCTTTAGCTGTATATTTCGAGAAAAACAACATTCTAGCATCTCGATTTCAAATCAAAAGTTGCTGAATCATGTTTTAAATTGGGCCTAAATTCAGCGTCCGAGACACGTTCTCACTTGGCTGATTCCAGCTATGCGATGTCGCGCACTGATCCGATGAATTATGGAGGGCCCGCGCGTGTGCGTCATGTCAACCCTTGCGTGCGCTTCCCCGAATAAAAAAAACGAACTACTTACGGAAATTTTCAATGGTGCGTCTTTAGATGCACTGTTGGAAAGGCCTTCTTTTGTTGATTACTTGAAATTGACAGCTTGCCAGAAAGAATAATTTCACAGGGAGTTAAGTCCCTTACTACAGGTTTCATTTCAACCAAGTATGTTTTTCAACAATAATTACGTTAGTTACTTTTTGGATAGCTGCAAATGATGGACTGCAGCTTTAATTGCCTTCCTTGCAGACTTTTTCATCGTGGCTGATTTAACATTAATCTCACCATTTCTTGTTATTGTCTTGCAGAGATCATCCGTAAATGTACGTCCACGGACAGCCGTCGGTCCTACCAGTGCATCAAATTCCTGGTCCATCTGTCCAACAAATGCTCCATGGCCAAAGAGTATCTGATGACCATCTCGGTCCGGTGGCAGTGGGCGGTCAACTGGCTCAAGAAAAAGGTAAGAACTTCTCCTCAATATGTAGTTTTTTTAAGGTTCAGTTAACCAGGTATATCTCTGAGTCAAAAGGTTTAATTTTCCACGTTAACCAAGTCAATAGGTGTTACTTTTCTCGTTAACCAAGTCAAAAGGTATAACTATCCAAGTTAACCAAATGAAAAGACTAGCTTATTATATAAACAGTATTTCAATCTCGGTTACTTGTAAGCAAGCTGACTCAAAGGCATATAGTATCATTTGCATTTTTCCCAGAAGTAACCTAGCACATTATTATCGAAAAGCTTACTTGGATTTAAGATCGTACTAGTACTAAACACCTCGTGAAATGTTTTCGTCTGGCTTGCTGTCATTTAGAAGCAATTAAGAAATGTAGGTGATTTCCTACGATCTGTCAATTGGCTGATCTTTTATTTTTATCCCAGAAATTAATACAAGAATCTATAGCAACTTTCTATCAAGACTAGACAATTAATGCTTATTTTGTTTATGTTGCTGTTTTGCATAGATGAGCGAGCACTACTGGACGCCTCAGAACGTCTCCAACGAATCCAGCACGGGACGGTCCTTCCAACGCACCATGAGTGCTCAGGACACGCTGGCCGAAGCCACCGCGCTGTTGGATGAGCTCAACACGCGTGACGACGACGGTGAACACATCGAGAACGACGAAGAGGAGGAGGAGTACGTCGAGGGGGACTCCAACACCAAGATGGAGGTCAACGGGTCGTCAGAGGGGTCAGAGGTCAACGGGAATGAAGACAGCTCCGAGTCTTCCAAGACGCTGGTTCAGGACGACGTGGGCGACTTGGATGACATTGATACATAACGGCGTTTTTTTTTTCTGTTTCAGAATTTGTAGCCAATAGAAGATGGTTCCTTACTCCTGGGGTCATAAGTCAGAGGTCATCACAGGTCAGGTCGTAGGAAACCAAGGGCCAGGTTGCGTATTTTTTTTTTGCTGACACATCGTATTTTAACCAATCACATCACGCACCCTAACATGAATATTTATCACGCTGTGTGGATGGAAGACACTTAGGTTTTCGTAGTGTTTTCCCTGCAATTAACTTATGCCAATAAACAAAATATTTCATAAAATTGGACAAGGGTTCAAACCATCTTGCGATCCATGGTTCACTCCACTATCCACTAGGTCAATCCTGCTTTACCTAGGCTGGGAGCTCTCAATTGTTGAAAACAGCCACTTGACTGAAAGGACAACTTGGCACAGAATGTCTGTTTGCATAGGGTTAAAGCAGACAATGAATGCTTCATAACAATATTTGTTGGCCAAGCAAGTCAAGAAGTTATAATACCTCGCATGATTTGTACCGCGACAAACCTGTTTTTGCTGAGCAGATATTTTCCATGCTTACCAGATTTCTGTTGGCTGCTGTTCCTGTTCATCAGTCGTTCACTCTATTCACCACGTTCACTGTAAGCCATAATTTTGTGTCGCACAAATTCTTCTATTTTAAGCCAATATAGGACAAAGTTTGTTTGTTATTTTTTTTATTTGGACTTGAGTGTAGATTGTAGAAGCAATAATTTTATACGGACACAATTTGTAGCATATGGTATGTGTGTCGTTTTACCGTAAAGTCTCACAGCCAGGTTAGCAAGGGATGCAAAAGTGACACAATTTTATAAAAACCTGAATTTAAACCTTTTTTCACACTGATTCTTTTTATTGGATGTTTTGCATAGTAACTTGGTCCATTTCTAACCGTTACCACTCCCGGGTCCTACATATTCCATCAGAATTTTTTTTGAAGGATTTTATAGGATTTAGGAAGTTGGGCCTAGCTTTTATTTTTTGACACAGGGGTTGATGCACCTTTGAAGTTTCAAAAATGACTTTGTTTTGTGCACTGTGTTTGATTTTGTAGGATTCAGGAATTTTCTATCAAAAGTGCTGCGGGATTTACAGTGAATTTCTTTTTTTTCTTCTGTTTATTGATTACCCCACTTGATTAAATCAAGTTGCAAAATAGTTTATGCATTGAAATAACTTTAGATCAAATAACTCTACAAAGATGTTTGAATGTGAAATCTGTGCATAGAGTAAATTCTTCACTGTAAAAATACTGAATTCTGGCATCTTCAAGCAAACTTGAATCCTCGATCCTGATTGGCTGATCCATGGCAACAACATTATCCATATCGCAGTCTTGGTATCGCACTATTCTTAGATGTGCACTATACCTACTGCACGCACGTGTTAAACGATAACCGCTGGAAAGTTCGTGTACAGGGTGCGCACGTTCGATCCAGCTTTACTGTGCGTCAAGTTGGCTTGAAGATAAATCCGTTTTCCACTCGCGCTCATGGAAAATGAAAAATTTGGTGCGTCTGTGTTCCACATACCACTTGGTCTTCAGCCTTCTGGCATTTGGTACTCAGACGCACTACTTTGTCCTGTGTTCAACTCACGCTCGTGGGATGATTAAATGACTATGACATACATTTTGTCATCATTATTGTCTGCTGTAAATAGTTTTTAAAAACAACAACAACAACAACAAAACGGGTTGTACTTGAGATTTTCACACAGCATGAGTACTCTATCTAACAACTTTTCAAAACTGCCTCAGCTAAAACAGAATTTGATAGTATTTTTGGATCTAGATTTGAAACTAGCTGCGACTGGTTTCAACCAGATAGATTACATGTATATCATTAACCTTTGACCGTGATGTGTTTCATGAGAACCAATCAGATTGTACCAGGAATGGCATGAATATTCATAAAAAGGAAAGCATCCAATACCAGGCGACTACCTTCACTCTTTCATCCAATCGCAACTGCATGTGGTATCGCTATGGCAATACCTAATTAATATGCATTTTCGGTATCTTCCATGTAGATAGTTTGGTAGCGGTGTGTTTTAAGTAAAAATGAATAACTTATAGTTACACACACCAATGCAAGTTATTTTTCAAGTAGCATTAAATGAGATTTGAATTTTCATTTTTTTTGGTGGGGGGGGGGTGTTTTGCTCGATATGTTAACTATTGAAGGTCCCTTTCTGTGTAAATTTAATAACATCTTCATCAAGTGCTGTAAATAGTATGCCTCACTATTTCATATGTAAATACTTTGTACATAAGAAAAATACAACGTAGGTTTTTGTTAAAAATTCAAAATGCCCATTTTTCATTTTAAAATGAGATAAAGAGACCATTGAGATAAGTTGGGAAAAACAATTCTTGTTGTTCATTTGTATGTGGGATTTTTTCAATTGAGAAGATGAAAATACCTGGTCAATGTTAAGGTCATATGGACATTTATGTAGGGGGCTGAGTTCTTGCACACTTTAACATAATTAACATCTGCACAATTATTCTGTTGTGTTCCAAATTTTGTTTCAAGTAGTTATGAAGTTTTACTTTTTCAATTGGTTCAGTAATTCCATTTGTTTTAACCCATTGTCAAATTCCATAAGAAAAAATCTGAAATTATATTTAATTTGAAGTTCATAGGATGTGGTGCTTTAATGCTTGTAGCATAAGTTGAAAAGTTGCATTTTTGTTCGTCTGTTGAATTGTTTGTAATGTTAACTGTGCTTTAAATACTGACGTGACATTACAAACTACGCTTTTTATGCTACAGAAAAGTAGACCTTGCAGCAAAGGTTTCCACCTGAATTATTTTCATTTTCTGCAGTCAGTGAAGCAACCTTGATAAGCAGAAAAACTTTAACCTTTTTTAGTTTTAATTTTGTATAGGTAATGTGTGCAATGAGCAGATTATTCCAAAATTGCACCCGCCAGGTACGAACATTTGATATATCTGTTCAAAGATCATATAGTACACATTATTTTCATTCCGTTTAAAATCAAGGCAATTTATTGTATCCAAGGATCGAGTTAAACCATATTATTATTATTTTTATCAGGCTTCCAGTGATACAAATAAATCACTGTATTGTATGCTTTCACGTCCGCAGACGACTGCAATATTATGTCAGTCAAAGTACCCAGATGAGGACAATATTATTTTTTGATATTTTCCTTATCCGGGCATTTTAACAATTTTCGCTGGTTCCCACACAATCAAGAGCGTAGAACCTCACAGTTGTCAACCGGTCAGCACAGCGTAGCGCGGTACCATCGCACGCGGGCACGGACGCAGCGCGCAGCATGACATACGCGCATCATGATATACGCGCACTGTTGTCAACAGCAACAATGGCAGCTTCGAGCAGCGCAAAATTTGCTTCGGTAAGCAAAGAATATTCGGTGAAATTTCAGAAATAAAGACAGTGTCTTGAAAGGTATTTCTTGCTAATCAAGTCAGCTTGATATAAATAATAATAATAGTATTGGATGGCTTTTTCCCCCAGGGATACAAGAATATATTGCACTAGCTATAACAATAGTGCCCTCGTCATAGCTCATGCAATATATTCTTATATCCCCCTCAAAGCCATCCGATGTTATATATCTATCTTTAGAGGGGATTGATAAGATTTGTCATGAAATTACACACATGCACACAAACAAAAAACGAATCTCAGTCAAAGGATTTCTTGATAACAGACAAAATAAAAAAATTAACATAAAAATGCACAAGAAAAAAAATGTCTGCCTTAATGCGAAATACTGTACATATTTAGAGACCTGGAAAAGTTTAAAACCATCGGGTGAAAATCTACTTTGATTCACTAAAATAGTAGGAATAAAAAAAGTTGCATTTTTAAGTAATGTAGTACTGTTTGATACAATGCAAGACATGGTTAGTAGATCAGACAGTAAACTTAGTGTATTGTACAGGTATATGAAATACTGGTTCAAATCTGGTTTGAACCAGTTCAAACCAGTCTCTACTGGTTTAAACTGGCCCTAATTAAAGAGGCATATGCATACACACATTTGAGCGTACGGTTTCTGCAGAGTTTACACTGAAGGGCTGGTCAGTGACATTAATGTACATGTGTGTACATATATGTAAATATATTTTAAATATTGATTACAAATTCCTGGTATTTTAAATAAAAAATTTCTTTCATGATCAACTTCGTGAGACAAAGAAGTGCAAGATTTGAATAAAAAATTCTCAATTTTACCCAGTTGTATATTTTCTGTATTTTGTCAGATTGTTTTTGCTAGTGTTGTGATGACGTCTTGTTAAACTTAATTTTATACATGTACATATTTTTCTTATAGAGTAAGGAATGGATTGTATCATTCAAATTCCATGAAAAGATACTTTAATAACGTTGTTGGCATGAGGCGATTTTGTCTTTTAAGAACCAGGGCTTTCTCCATACAAGGATTTCGTCGTTTTTCTTTACCCAACATTATCACACTTCTCAAGCAAGACAGCGAAGGCGAGATTCACGTGTAAGTTGTAGTAAACAGTACTCTTTTTCACAGCTTTTAACACGTTTTCTTCAAAATGTTGGGTTAAAAATCTAAGAGATTTCAGCTTTCTGGTATCTTTATGCTTTTTCTGTAATTTGCAGACATTGATGGATTTTGGGGGTTAGTGTTTTATAGCAAATATTGTTACACCGACCTGTTTGAAGTTTTATGTTTGTAGATGCTGGAAAAAAACAAGAAAAACAATCATGTTCCTGTAGTCTTCAAATTTGGTTTGTGGGTTACTCTTGGTAGCTTTATCAAGCCTGTTGCTCTTGGGGCCGTCAGGTCAAAGGTCAAAGTCAATTTTGCTGAAACAATAGAAATCTTCCATTCTGGTTAGGGACTCTGAGAAGTATATATACATACTAACTGACTATAAAATCTGCCAGCATGCCAGGGGGATTGCTCAATTTTCACTCAGGGCCTGTTGTCAAAATTATTTACATATCGACGAGTAAAGCTCTTTCTTGTGTTTTCCCGCCAGTTTGGAACCAGTCAGTTCCCCCGAGCTGTCCCCACACCACGACGGCGATCGTCTTAGCGAGCTGACTGCTCTGGTGTGCAAGTACAGCACCGGGGGATGTTCATACACGACAACAACCTTGTCTGGAGCCTTGCATCCTGGAATGTGGTGAGTCCAAAAACATCTTCAGGGAATTTTTTTTGTTTACAAAAAAAACACCAATTCTGGCGCGAAAACTTGTTTACCGCACAATGATAATAGTTGGGCAGATCATTAAAATGTAAGTTAAGATACTAATGCTCAACACAACTATACCTTTCAAATTTGCTGACATTACTGCACGAAGGAATTTCAGGGTACAAAACTTTGCTCCTCAAAAATCAAGCCGTTGGAGTACACTTCATCATACACACAAGCCCAACTTCTTTGGTTTCATGTGAAATATGCCCACCGTCAGCATGGGATTTTCTGCTATTACTAGATTTTCAATAAACACCGCAAAAAAAAAGGAAAAAAGTCCACACTCATTTTAGGGTCATAATTTTGAATCTGATCGTCTTATGATAACGTCATTGATATAGACCTGAGGGGAATTTTTTTAGCTACATTTTGATACCCAGTTTGCTACCCAAGACTGTAAATTGTCCAACATTGACAATGCTTCATGAAAAATGATGCAGTAGGAAAAGTTGAAAGTTATAAGAGAAGGTGAATGGAAGTTGCTGCGTGACAATGTTACAATGCCCAAAACGAACGGCAGGGAATTTCGATTGCACAGTGCTTGTATGTGCATGGGAGCACGAGGAATTGAATTACCCGTGCTTTGTTCGGGCACTGTGCAGTTGATAGGCGCCAATTACGGGCGTGTGGTTTGCGCTGAGCAATTTCTCCTCCGTCGCGTAATCTTTAAATTTGCAACTTTTGGTATTTGCTTATAAAGTGAACCCCTAAATCATTATGCTGATCGAGAATACTTCTCTTTAAAAATATTGCTCTTCTTGTCAATCTGCAGTCCTTCACACTGAGCAGTAACTACAATTCCTGTGCCGTCACCAGCCTGCAACTAGCCTTCCAGTTTCTATTCAACAATTACTTCCGAACCAAAAAGAAACTCAGGTGAGTTCTGAGGGCAGCATTCCATTTGACTCAGGCATGCAACTTTTCCTCGGATCAGCTGATTTCTTCTTTTTTCACTTCCCATGTGTGTCATTGAAAATAGAAAAACACTGTACAAAGTCTTGGAAAGATTTGAATTTCCTCTTTTTTGTGACTTCCCAGTTACATGCCTGTTGACTCTGAAAGGGCCCATGCAGTGTAGATAGAATTTATTTAATGCTATCCTTGAAAATGCATCTTTGTGTTCCATTTAACCTTATTTTAAATTTAGAGAGGAGACAATGAAGAAATTACAGTCTGAAGAGGTTGAAGGAAAACCCCAGAAGAATATCCTGGGGTAAGCTCACAGAATCAGTTGGAGACTGAAAACCCAATCCACATGTGGACCAGGGCAGGAATTGAACCCGGGATGTAGCGATGGAAGGCGAGGAAAGAACCACTGCACCAACCTAAATCTCCATCAAACCTGACTCCCCTGTAATAATAATAATAATTTTTATTTATAAAGCATGCATCCACCAGTATTGGTGCTCAAGGCGCTACATCATTATTACCTTTCTTATCCTGCAGAGCTTCGTCCACTTCAGTCCGGACTTGGTGTCTAGTTCCCAACCTCTCAATGGCCTGATCGAGTACCTGCTCACGCTGCTGGACAAGGAGGTGCCAGACCACTGCAAGACGTGCCAGCAGTACTTTTGGCTTCTCAGCTCCTACCTGGATGCGGTAAGTTCCAGTGTTGTAGTCTAGTATTTTTTTCCCGAGTACCGAGTACTGCCGATTACAAATACAGGTCTCCGAGTACCAGTGGCGTAGCCAGGAATTTTTCAGTGGGGGGGCGCTGGGGGGGCTGGAACATTTCATGGGGGGGCGTCAAGCAGGGGCGTCAATCGCTTCTCAAAAGTGGGGGGGGGGGGACATACCTTGATCATAACTGATGGAAGCGCGAAGCCCTTACGGCGAAGCCCTTACGGCGTGAAAAAAATTGGATTCTAGATGTTCCGTGGTGTGATTTAAAGCAATTTCTTACGACTTTCCTCCATGCTTTAACTAATATTTTCTTGGCAAATGATAATTATTTGAACATCGTTTTTGAGGTTGGAGACATTGAATCAGCTATCAGTATTCTGAGTTATTGGCGTGGGGTTCGGGGCGCGCTTAAGGGCCCCGAAAAAAAAATTGGATTTTCAATGCTCTGTGGTGTGATCTGAGGCAATTTCTTTACCACTTTAACCAATAATTTCTTAGCACAAAAGATAATAATTTAAACATAATTTTCGAGGTTTTCTCGGCTAAAGGCATAAGAAAATTTTGTGAACATTGTTTTCGAGTTTGGAGTCATTGAATCAGCTACCAGAATTCTGGATTCTAAATGCTCTGTGGTGCTATCTGAGGCAATTGCTGACCACTTTAACCAATATTTTCTAAGCAAAAGATACATTGTAGTACATAATAGGGCTCATGGCGTCATGTAGATCCATGATAATTTTTTTAGAAACTCAAAATCTCAGTGGGGGGCGACTGGGGGGCGACAAGGTTTCATGGGGGGCGGTCGCCCCCCCCCCCCACGCCCCCCCGTGGGCTACGCTACTGCCGAGTACGAGTACTTGTACTTCTGAGAACTCATACTCGAATAGCAGTACGAGTACTGATACGTACGAGTAAGAGTACGAGAATCGTACTTCCGAATACGATCAGTATGAGTACGAGAACTTCTAATTCCGAATACAGCCATACGGCAAATTGTTCATTGTGGGCCCAGGTCCAGTCAGACTGATACACAGCCCCACTCACAGCTAGCTATTAAATGTGTTTGTCTGGACGTGTACAGAGGAAAATCAGGAAACTTTGATTTCTCC